GTCTGCTCAGGTAGCTACCCAGTGTGAGTGTCGCCGCCTGTCGCACGACACTCTTCTGTGGCACCACCGCCTTGGTCACCCCTCCCTGCCTCGCCTTCGTAGTATGCACTCTCGCTACCTGGTCTCTGGCCTTCCTGAGTCTCTGCCTGCCCTCCCTCCCTCGCCTGCGCCGCCCTGCATTCCTTGCGTCGAGGGGCGGCAGCGCGCTGCTCCTCACTCCTCCTCGTTTCCTCCCACAGAGGCTCCCCTGCAGACTCTCCACATGGAAGTGTGGGGCCCAGCCCGCGACCGTGGACAGGGCCACGAGCGGTACTTCCTGCTGGTCGTCGACGACTACACGCGTTACACCACTCTCTTCCCCTTGCGCAGCAAGGGGGAGGTCCCTGATGTTTTGATCCCCTGGATCCGCGCTGTTCGTCTCCAGCTCCGCGAGCGGTTCCAGTCGGACTTTCCTGTCCTGCGTCTGCACTCTGACAGAGGTGGTGAGTTCTCCTCCGACCTCTTGGCAGCCTTCTGTGCGAAGCACGGCATCCGCCAGACGTTCACGCTTCCGGCCTCTCCGCAGCAGAATGGGGTTGCTGAGCGCCGCATTGGCTTAGTCATGGAGGTCGCTCGTACCTCCATGATCCATGCGGCTGCCCCCCATTTTCTGTGGCCGTTTGCAGTCCGGTACGCCGCGCATCAGCTCAACCTCTGGCCCCGTGTCTCCTTGCCGGAGACCTCGCCCACACTGCTGTGGACGGGGAAGGTTGGCGATGCGTCGCGTTTCCGGGTCTGGGGTGCTCGTGCTTTTGTCCGCGATACCACTTCGGACAAGCTCTCCGCTCGCGCCATTCCCTGCGTCTTCCTTGGCTTTGTCCCTGACGCGCCTGGCTGGCAGTTCTACGACCCCGCCTCGCGGCGTGTCTTTCCATCTCAGGACGTCACCTTTGACGAGTCCGTCCCCTTTTACCATCTCTTTCCCTACCGCATTGCCCCTCGCCCCCCACCGCCGCTCTTTCTCGCCCCAGGTCCTCCCCAGGTAGACCCCCTCCCCGCGCCAGGTCCTGCTCCTTCAGATGTTTCTCAGGTAGACCCTCCCGTGCCTGCGCCTGTTGAGGTCACTGGTGACTTAGGTCCTGTTGGGGGTGGTGCTGTCTTTGGGGGTGCTGGGCCTGGGGGTGCGGAGCTTGGGGGTGCTGAGCCTGGGGGTGCGGAGCTTAGGGGTGCTAAGCCTGGGGGTGCGGAGCCTGCGCGTGAGGACCCAGGAGGTACTGAGCCGGGGGGTGCGGAGTCTGGGGGCGCTGAGCCTGAGCGTGAGGAGCCTGGGGGTACTGTGTCTGGGGGTGCGACGCCTGAGGGTTCTGAGTCTGCTGCTGCGCGGTCGCCTTGGGGTAGCCGCCTTCGTCCGCGTCTGCCTCTCACCTCACAGCAGCTGCACGACTGGTACGGTCGCCGTCAGGGTCGCGCTTCTAGAGCTCGGGGCTCTGCCGCTGGAGGTACTTCTGCTGACGTCTCTGGAGCTGGGAGTGGTGCTGGTCCCGGAGGTGCTCGTCCTGGAGCTACTGAGGGTGCTGGAGCTGCTGAGGGTACTGGAGCTGCAGGAGGTGCTGGAGCTGCTGAGGGTGCTGGAGCTGCTGAGGGTGCTGGAGCTGCTGGAGGTGCTGGAGCTGCTGAGGGTGCTGGAGCTGCTGAGGGTGCTGGAGCTGCTGGGGGTACTGGAGCTGCTGAGGGTGCTGGAGCTGCTGAGGGTGCTAGAGCTGCTGAGGGTGCTGGAGCTGCTGAGGGTACTGGAGCTGCAGGAGGTACTGGAGCTGCTGAGGGTGCTGGAGCTGCTGGAGGTGCTGGAGCTGCTGAGGGTGCTGGAGCTGCTGAGGGTGCTGGAGCTGCTAGTGCTGGTGGCACTGCACATCCGCGCCTGTTCTTTGCTCCACCGTCTCCGTCGTCTCTGCCACCGCCTGACTCCGTACTTCGCCAGGTTCTTAGCCTCCCGTCGTCTACTGGTCTTCCGTTACAGCCTGGCTCACCTCTGCCTGCTCCTTCTCCTTACGCTGAGCAGACAGGGGGCTTTGCTGAGCGTCGTAAGCCTGCGTCGCGTCTTGTCTCACCTGTCCGTTCTGGTCGTTCCAGTCGTCGTGTTCCTCGTCAGCGTCCGCCGGCTGTCCCCGGCCCTTCCCTTGTAGTCCGTCGTCCTTCCTCTCCTCCGCAGCGTGTTCCTCTGCCGTCTCCCCCTGAGTCTTCTCTGCCTGTTGTTCCGGACCCTGAGTCTGACCGGTTTCGTGCTGAGCACCCTACTGTCACGCGTCTGCTAGCCACTGTTGTCACTGACCCGTCGTTTGAGTCTTCTGCTGCGTCTGCCTTAGTCGCTGAGCTTGTTGACTTTGTTGTTGCCTGTCGTCTAGACTACGCTGCTAGTCTTGTTGCTGAGTCTGAGTCTGTCTGTCCTCCGTCCGTCGGGGGTGAGTGTGCTCTTGGCACGGACGTCCTTGAGGACAGGCACGAGGACCTTGAGTGTTTTGCAGCCGCTGCGCCTCATCTCGTGTCCATGCTGCTTGCCCCTGAGGGAGACCCGGATGCACCAGACATCCCGACCCCGCGCTCTTACGCTGAGGCGATCGCGTGTGAGTACTCCTCTCAGTGGCAGACAGCCATGGATGCAGAGATGGCATCCTGGAAGTCCACATGCACCTACGTCAACGAGGTTCCCCCTCCTGGGGCGAACATCGTCAGTGGCATGTGGATTTTCAGGGTGAAGCGGCCGCCAGGTTCTCCGCCTGTCTTCAAGGCTCGTTACGTTGCTCGAGGTTTCAGTCAGCGAGAGGGGGTTGACTTCTTCCAGACCTTCTCCCCCACCCCGAAGATGACCACTCTTCGGGTGCTGCTGCACGTTGCCGCCCAGCGTGACTACGAGCTTCACTCTCTTGACTTCAACACAGCTTTCTTACAGGGCAGCCTGCACGAGGAGATCTGGCTGCGCCGCCCACCTGGCTTCACTGGGTCGTTCCCTCCTGGTACCCAGTGGAGCCTCCGGCGGCCGGTCTACGGTCTCCGCCAGGCGCCGCGTGAGTGGCACGACACACTGAGGACGACACTTGCGGCTCTTGGGTTTTCTCCGTCGACTGCTGACCCGTCGCTGTTTCTGCGCACCGACACTTCACTGCCGCCGCTCTACATCCTCGTGTACGTCGACGACTTGGTCTTTGCCACTGTTGACACTGAGGCTCTCGCCCTGGTGAAGTCGGAGCTGCAGAAGAGACACACGTGCACAGACCTGGGTGAGCTGACAAGCTATCTTGGCTTGCGGATCACCCGGGACAGAGCACGCCGCACCATCACACTGACTCAGTCACACATGGTGCAGCAGGTCCTTCAGCGCTTCGGCTTCACCTGGTCCTCGGCACAGGCCACTCCTCTGGCTACAGGTCACTCGCTCTCAGCTCCACTTTCGGACGAGTCCGTAGAGCCGAGTGGTCCTTACCCAGAGCTAGTGGGCTGCCTCATGTACCTGATGACCTACACTCGTCCTGACCTTGCGTACCCTCTTGGCCTTCTGGCTCGCTACGTGGCTTCTGGTCGGCACCGAAAGGTGCACATGGAGGCTGCTAAGAGGGTACTACGCTACTTGTGCAGTACATCAGGCATGGGGCTCGTGCTTGGAGGACGGAGCGACGTTGTCCTCACTGGGCACTCAGACGCTTCTTGGGTTGACGACCAGGCTACGCAGCGGTCGTCACAGGGTTACACCTTCAGCCTTGGCTCTGGTTCGGTTTCTTGGCGTTCTACACGCTCGTCTTCAGTTCTCAGCTCCAGTTGTGAGGCTGAGATCTACGCAGGGGCCATGGCTGCACTGGAGTTACGCTGGCTCACCTACCTGCTGACCGACTTGGCAGAGCCGCCTCGTTCTCCTCCAGTGCTGTACGTCGACAACAAGGCCGCCATTGCCTTGTGTCAGGAGCACAGACTGGAGCACAGAACGAAGCACATCGCTCTGCGTTACTTCCTTGCTCGAGAGCTACAGCAGCGTGGTCAGCTTCGTCTTGCTTATGTGGCCACTCGGGCCAACACTGCTGATATTTTCACCAAGGCGCTTCCGCCTGGTGATCACCAGCGTTTCTGTACTTTGTTAGGCCTTGTGCCCACGTTTCCTCACTTGCTGTAGGCTTTGTTTGTACTGTGATCTATATATATACCTGCATGCTTGCTCTGGTAGGTAGAGATCACTGTGTTGTTGTTACGTATATATCTCTGCATGTGAACTGGCCTTGTGGCCTTTTGCTTGTGCTCAGACTGCGTGGTGACGTTGTGATCCACCCTGAGCTTGCTTTGCACTTCCTGACTGGTCTTGTGACTCTCTGTTCTCCCCCACTTTGCCTATGGGGGTGTGTCAAACATATATTTATATGTTATAGTTTGGGTAGGCTTAGTGGGGTACTCACTGTGGGGTACAACCCCTTAGGTTTCACGTTTGTACCAAACTCCTCGATAGTTGATTCATCCCCTTGCCTTAGTCTTGACAGTGATTGCCAACGATCACAGGGTTTTGTTTGAGTGCTAAATCTGTGCTGGATTCTGTAATTTTGAGTGCATTGCGCATGTGAAACACCGGACGGGGCTGAAGAGGCTGTAGTTGAAGGACTGTAGGTTTGGTGAGAGGGGGATAGCGTGCCTGGAGGGCCTGCCAGGGCTGGAGCGGATTAAGACGAATGTGGATGCGCTGTTGGCGCTGGACATTGGTGTGCTTCCGGGGGTGGTGATTGCCAAGGAGCAGTGCATTCTGTTTGAGCGCTGATTTTTGTGTTCTAAAGTGGATTCTATTTGCCTGGTCTTTTTGGGGTGTGATCTGAATGTGGACTGAAAGTGGCGGATAACAGGCAAATGTTGCATGCCGGTAGGTACATGCATGTTAAGCACTTGCGTATATGCGGCAGAAAATCACTGATTTTTTCAGGCTGACTGAATTTCATATACCGGTACTAGTGGCTCCCCTGCTGCAGTAACTGTACAGGCATAGATAACTAGAATCAGACATTAAAGCCCTCGCTTCGCAAGCACTGTTTGTGAGCCTCGATCCACTTGGTGCAAGCCTCCTCCCCGTGCTCCACAATGCACTCATCCCTCAGCTTCTTGGTCGTCGGGCACGCACAGCAGATCTTCTTCTTTGGCTTCTCTTGTTTCTCTTGTGCTGCTGCCTCCACCTTGCCAGCTGCTGCCTCAGCCATTACAGGTGAAGACATGATGTCGATCTGATGGAGGACCAAACTGGAGGGCACAAGGGGAGGGCAGGGAGAAGGGGAACACTGGGGGTCAGTGGGGGTCAGTGGGGGTCACTCGTCCCTCAGCTTCTTGGTCGTCGGGCACGCACAGCATATCTTCTTCTTCGGCTTCTCTTGCTTCTCTTGTGCTGCTGCATCCGCCTTGCCTGCTGGCTCGGCCTTCACATGTGATGACACGATGCCGCTTTGATGGAGGACCAAACTGGAGGGCACAAGGGGAGGGCACAAGGGGAGGGGGTACAGCGGGAGGCAGAAGGGGCGCAACAGGTGCCAGTTGTGCCTCAGGGTCTAGCTTGCCTGCTGCCCCCATTTTCAGAGCATCAGATGTGGCAGTAGTTTGCAGAGTTGGTTGTAAGGACAAGCACTGGCGAGACCGACAGGGCAGGGAGAAAAAGTGGGGAACTGGAGTTACGTCAGCGAGACGAAGGTTCTGACGAAGGTTCAGAACCTTCGTAAATACCTCCCCTTTCATGTGAAGACGAAGTTGGAAAGTGAGGACGGGGCAGAAGGAAGGGGGGAAGGAGGAAAAGGGAATGAATTTGAGTGAGAGACATATACTAGGTTGCCACTTGCCTGTAGCTGTACCTCTGTCCCTTCGCCTGCTGCGCTCTGCTTAATCAAGCCAGGGTCGGTTGCGCCCATCAAGCCATGGGAGAGGCGGGGGCGCATGGGAGAGGCGAGGGCGCATGGGAGAGGCGGGGGCGCATGGGAGAGGCGAGGGCGCATGGGAGAGGCGGGGGCGCATGGGAGAGGCGGGGGCGCATGGGAGAGGCGGGGGCGCATGGGAGAGGCGGGGGCGCATGGGAGGGGCGGGGAGAGGCGGGGGCGCATGGGAGAGGCGGGACTTACAGAAGAACAGAGAGGACGGCAGGGGGGCAGCAGGAGTGTCGTTAGGCGCGTGGATCGGAAGGGGGAACGGGAGTGTAGAGGAAGAAGGACTGCGGGAAGGGGACTACTAGGTGAGGGAGGAGCATGTCACGTCACGTCACTCACGTCACTCACGCCACTCACGTCACTCACGCCACTCACGCACCCGCTACACAACCGCTGCGCGCCCGTTCGAATTACTATCATCTCCGATCCGCGTACCTCTGTACGATGTAGCCGGCTTCAGCGAGTCGACTCGCGGAAAAAAACGCGACTGAAGAGGGTGGCCAGGTGCCACGCCGATCCCCACGCCGATCTCTTACTGCCACCGGTATTGCGCACGCCAATATACTACTAATAGTCGAGACAGCGCGACAGCTCGAAGTGACGAGAATCAGCACGAGGCAGCAGAAAGAGCGTGGAAGGGGGTTACAACTCCAGAAACGACACTATTCCTGTAGGAGAGTCGGCGGCCTAATTTGCTAAGCTCGATAATCTGTTCTGTGTTGTGCTGTAGCGTGTCGCTCAACTATCTCTGATCGTACATGACGTACACGCGCCAACGACGTCCGCGGTATAGCAGGAGGATGCTGGCGATCGCCACATCGCATCTAGATTCTAGAATATTGGGTCCGAAATTTCGTCAGAAAGGGCGAGTAGGTTTCGTCAATGACAGCTTCATGTATCACATACCATAAGCGAACGTGCAACAACACCTTGTTTCATACTTCAACGAGTATATTAGGGGAATCATAATACGGAATACCATTAATGATACAGCTCAAATCACCGTAATATGATGGAGAAGTGTTGCGAAGTATCTTAGAATGTGTCAAATTTCCCACATCTTATGTAATTGAGAACAAAATCCTTAGCGTTTTCTCCTCTTGCCCCTTGAGTTAATGAAGGCTAGAAGCAAGTGGTACAGTTAAGTACACCCGAAGAAAAGCGTTATATCGAGAATCAAAATTTGAAGCACATCCCCTGGTCCCTCCTGACCTGACTGCCCTGCCCCCCGCACTCTCCATGTGCTAGCTTCCATCCACATCCTCCGCACCAGCAGTTTCATTTTTCACACGCAACAGCAACATTCTAGTAAGAATCCGCTAGCTTCCGGACGCCTGGAGAAAAAAACTGCATTCCGAGTTTCTTGACGTTCAGTCAGAGACAGCATCTTCAAAGACTGACACATGTAAGTCGTTTCGTACATCATATTTCCAAGCACGAGGCGCATGCTAGTGGCCGTGAGTCGTCGGGGCCTTCCACATTCCCAGGAACTTGTTGAAATCAAATAACAAAAAAAACCCTCACCTTTGGTGCGCGTCCCGTGGTCTCCTTCAAAAACTTGCCTCGCGTGGATCCGGCGGGCCCCGGATGATGCGGACGACTGAACTCATCATTTTCCGACCCGTTAGATTCGCTCGAGCCTGAAGCCGTTTCGCTCCATTCACTCCGCCAGTTAAATCCGACCGTCCGTGGGCCTTTCTTCGAGCATCTGCTTCTTCGATTCCTCGCCCCTTCTCTCGTGTCACCAACGACAAACATTCTTGAATTGAATCTGCTCCAGAGGTTTCGCAACCCCCCTCATCCCCCCTGTTTCCCCCGTTCTCCGCCTCACTTCGATACAAGCAGAATGGCGGCTAATGACGCGCTGCCAGCTGTCCTGGTGGTGAACGACGATGGGATCGAGGCTCCGGGAATTAAGGCGCTCGTGGCGGTGCTCGGCTCGGCTGGCTTCTGCCGCGTCTTCGTGTGCGCGCCTGACGTGTACGTCGCATTGCTCCCCCTGTGCTGCCTCCTGACGTGTACGTCGCATTGCTCCCCCTGTGCTGCCTCCTGACGTGTAAGTCGCATTGCCCCCTCTCTTTATGACTTGACGTGTGCATCCACTTGCCCCCCCTGTGCGCCTGACGTGAGCGTCTCACCGCGTCCCATGAACCCTGACTGCTGCCCACGCCATAACTGTCTCCCCACCAATCTCGCCGCCTCCTCCTCTCGCCCCCCGTCCCATCCCATGTTGAACACTTCATCTCCTCCGCATTCACTGGTTCTCCTTGGGAGGGGTCAGTGCGCAGTGCAGTCAGTGAATCTCCACTCGAGAGACAATCAAGGGCCTGATGGAGAACCAGGAAGGGCGAACATGAGGCGCACTCTGATGCCAAACTCTATGGTGAGCCGCGTCTTCGCCTTGCCCCTCTGTGCCGCTCTGTGCCCCCGTGCACCCGTCTGTTCCCCGTGTCAGGGAGAGGTCAGCGTGTGCGCAGTCCATCACCATCCGGGAGACACTCGAGGCGAATCTGGTGGAGGACTATGAGGGCGCTGCTGTGGCATACTCGCTCACAGGTGCGTGCTGCTGTGGCCCGTTCGTTCTTAGCTCTCTCTTAGATTTTGAGACGTCCCAAAGCTGCTGTGGCATACTCGCTCACAGGTGCGTGCTGCTTTTCCTGCTCCTTCTTAGCTGTGTCTCCTGATCATTCACAACTTAAACACCCTGTACGTCCACACACTGCGCCTCAGCCCATTCGTTGTTGGTCTTTTCTTTTTGTATGAAGAATGTTGGTTCGAAAAAGCTTGGAATGAATTTCTGTCTCCCCTGCCTGCTCCCAACAGGCACACGGGCAGACTGTGCGTCCATGGGCCTCTCAGGTGACTTGTGAGTCGACTCAAAGTCAAGCCGTTCAGGATCTTTCCCTGTTCTCCCCCTTTGCTCCAAACTCCCCACAGGCACACGGGCAGACTGCGTCCACGGGCCTTTCGGGTGACTTGTGAGTCGACTCAAAGGTCAAGCCAATCAGAATCCGTTCCCTTTCTCCCTCCTGCGTGCTCCCAATCCCCACAGGCACACCGGCGGACTGTGCGTCCACGGGCCTCTCAGCTGATTTTTGAGTTGTCTCAGAAGTCAAGACGTTCAGAGCCGATCTCTTTTCTCCTCCCCACTGCCTTCCCCATACAGGCACACTGGCAGACTGTGCGTCCACAGGCCTCTCGATTATTTTTTTAGTGGTCTCAGAAGTCAAGACGTTCAGATCTTTTCCCTGTTCTCCCCCCCCCTGCCTTTCCCCAACAGGCACACCGGCAGACTGTGCGTCTATGGGGCTTTCTGGCCAGCTCTTCAAGGGCATCAAGCCCCTCCTGGTATGGAGTGGTTCAAAGCGGTGTAGCGAGGCTCATGTGGTCAAAACACGGTCAAAGCGAAGCCATTAGTTTCAAGCATGGTCCAATTGCTCAACTGTGTGTTTCCCGGTGTTGTTGCTTCATGCGTGTCCTCAGATGCTGTTGTCTTCTCAAAGAACCACTATCGTATCCGTCAAAATCAAATCGCTCTGTTTTGTGAATCTTGCTTTGTTGCACATCCTTTTCTCTCCTAGTCGGAAATCTCTTCTCATTTCTCCTGATCCTTGTCTCTCTTGATCCTTTTCATCCATCGCATGCATGTTGATGGCGTGTGTGAGTGAGGTCAGGTCATCAGCGGCATCAACAAGGGTGCCAACACAGGCCGCCAAGTGTGAGCTACCGTCTGTGTTGCCATTCGGCACCTGCTCGGTCACATCCCATCCCATCCCTGTGCTCAGAGCATGCTCCATCCACCTTCCTCTTACCCCATATCACGGCATCTACCTTCACCAGCAGAAGCACCCTTCTCAGCCATATCCCTGTGTTCTCTCACACCCTCGTTCGTTTCTTCCTGTGCTTGCATTGCATGCATGCATGTGCTTCATGGAGTTCACCACGCATGTTGGCAACTCAGCATCCCCCCTCACCTTGTTCTCCAGTCCAGGCACCCCTCACTGCTCCTCCTTGCCTGGTCCTCTTCCGCACGTTGAATCTCTTTTCTCCTGCCACTACCATGTCCGCAGCATCTATTCAGGGACGGTGGCGGGTGCAAGGGAGGCAGTGATTCAGAGGGCGCTCCAAGCCCCTTAGCTGCTCCTCTTGTGCTTACAGGCCCCCTTCCACACGTTCTACCGTCCCTATCCCTACCCACCCCCACCATGGAACCGCCCTGCCAACAGCATCTATTCCGGCACGGTGGCGGGCGCAAGGGAGGCCGTCATTCAGGGCGCTCCAGGCATCTCCATCTCCCTCGACTGGTCTGCGCCTTTGCCTTCTTTCAATGCTTGCATGCTTATCTTATCCCTCTGGATGCTGCTTTCATGTTGCATGGGACGGGACAGGACCAACCAAGCGCTTCGCCCCTTGCTATGACAAAGTGGTTGTCACTATAGTGACTGATCACCTTTTGTCCCTTTATACTGTGCCCAGGGTTTACCCTAAACCCACCCCTCCCATCCTTTCTTCCTTTCCCACCCCCTCGCTCTCCATCAGGAACTGCCTGCATTAAACACTCACACTCTTCGTTGCTTCCACCTTCCATCCCATCCCATCCCATCCCATCCCATCCCATCCCATCCCATCCCATCCCATCCCATCCCATCCCATCCCATCCCGTCCTGTCCCATCACATTTACTCCACCATACCATTCCTTCCACTCCGTCCCCTCCTTCACATGCCTTTGGGCACACACTCACCAGGGCCGCTGCAAGCACTGACGCCCAATTTTCTCCCGCTGCTGCCACGTGTCTGCCCCTCATTCGCTGTGTTCTGGAGGCAGCAACTGCTGGTCAGCTATCCAGCAGCGGGGGGGACCCGCTGCTGCTGAACGTGAATGTGCCCCTTGACCCGGTCAAGTCCAAGGTGTGTTCTTCTGCCACCCATATATGGTATGGAATGCTATGGCATGCCATTCTGGTAGCAGAAGCTGCGGGGACCCTCTGCTGGAAGGAATGGTATGGTGTGCCCGGCCGGCAGTGCCATGCAAGGGTGGCTTTCTCCTGGACTCACACTGCCAGGAGGCGAAACGGTTACCGCAGTGCACTACTGGCATGGCATGAAAGTGCCTCTGCACTGACTCTCCCATTCACCCATTGTTCCCTGGCATGGCTTGAAGCTCGCCCAGCAGGGCCATGCAAGGGTGGCCTTCCCATGAATGCTGGTCTGATTCCTACTTTCACGCCGCCCCTCAATCCTCAATCGTCCATCCTCTCATCCCTTTCATCCTCGGCAGGGCTTCAAACTCGCCCAGCAAGGCCAGGAACGGGTGACCTTTTCCTGGACGCACATTGCCAAGAAGCGCACCGGAGTGCAGCTGGCAGGGATGAGTGGTGCTCTGAATATCCCTTTGCTACTCGTTCCTCCATCCCCTACCCTCCATTCCCTCAATCCCCAGCAGGGCTTCAAGCTGGCCCAGCAGGGCCATGCGAGGGTGGCCTTCCCCTGGACGCACATCGCCAAGAAGCGCACCGGTTACCAGGGTGCAGCTCGCAGACATGAATAGTGTTGTTGTTCCTCCTTTCAACTCCCTCAATCCCCAGCAGGGCTTCAAGCTCGCCCAGAAGGGACACTCAAGGGTCGCCTTCTCCTGGACGCACATCGACAAGAAGCGGACACTGCTGGCAGGGTCATGCCGCCCTGCTGGCAGGGTGCACTGCTGGTGCGAAAGGTGGCTCTGCCCTGAATCCCCATTTCAACCCTCTTTCCCTCGCAGGGCTTTAAGCTCGCCCAGCAAGGTCACGCGAGGGTGGCCTTCCCCTGGACGCACATCGCCAAGAAGCGCACCGGAGTGCAGCTGGCTGGCTTGGGGGGAGCAGCGGCAGGGGGCAGGGGACTTCCGGGCATGATGGGGGGCAGGGGCCTGCCGGGGATGATGGGAGGGAGGGGGCTGCCGGGAATGGTGGGAGGGAGGGGCCTCCCGGGCATGACTGGGCCCCCCGCGGTCTCTCTGGCTGAAATCGGATCGGTTGCCTCTGCTGCTGTGAGTGCTCGTCTGTGTTCTTAGTCGTTTAGTCGTAGGTGTGCAAATGAGTCGCTGACAAAACTGCTAAAAGTCTGATCTGTTTTATAATCATCGTGCTGGCATCTAGTGTTTCATGTGGCATAGCCTGCATAGACAGCATGACTGGGCAGCCTTACTGTCAAGGTACCTCAAAATTTCATCCCTCTCAACCCCACGCGCCCCTCTCATCCCCGCGAACCCGTCACAACCCGACGCACCCCTCTCACCCCCACGCACTCTCTCTCCCTCCCACAGGGCGCAGCATGTGAAAAGAGTGATTTTTTTAGACGTCTCCAAAATTCACTATTTTCACGTGGCAATTCCCCCACGCCACTCGCTCTCCCTCCCGCAGGGCGCAGCGCGGTCCAAGACTCCTGGCGAGGAGAGCAAGGAGGATGGCGGAGACGAGCCGTGGCAGCCACTCTCACCCCTCTCACCATCCCATGCACTCCTCTCACCCCCTCCCTCCCCCCCCAAACCCAACGCCCGCCCTCTCTCTCTCCCATAGGGTGCCGCGCGGTCCAAGACTCCTGGCGAGGAGAGCAAGGAGGATGGCGGGGACGAGCCGTGGCAGCCGCTGCATAAGATGCACTTCCGGCACGAGGTGAGCTGCAGTTGACCATCGTTGACCATCGTTGACCATCGTTGACCATCGTTGACCATCGTTGACCATCGTTGACCATCGTTGACCATCGTTGACCATCGTTGACCACCGTTGACCATCGTCGACCATCGTCGACTATCGTTGGCAAGAGGCAGCCGCTGCATAAGATGCACTTTAGGCATGAGGTGAGGTGCAGTTGACCATCGTTGACCATCGTTGACCATCGTTGACACGAGACAGCCGCTGCATAAGATGCGCTTGAGACACGAGATGAGGTGCATGTGAGACCATCAGGATCCTTTTTTGTTGACTCGGAAGTCAAACACGAAGTGAGCTGTATGTGGCATCATGAAGATGCATTTGAGTTCACTCAAAAGTCTCACGCGATATGAGCTGCCTTTATGTGACATCACGAGGATGGGAATCAAATCAAGTGGGTGGGACTCGCTGGCCAAGCCAATGGCCATGCCTTCCTTTCGGATGCTCTATTCCTTGCACTGCTGCTGCTCTGCCAGCCTTTCACGTGTCCTCGCTGCCACAAGCCCCAGGCATTAGGTGAGCTGCGAGATGCATGTCAAGTCATGCCGCGTGTTCACTTACCGCATGTCTAGTACATGTATTATCGAAATGCATGCATGAGGACCTTTTGCCTCTTGCCAACGACCAGTGAAGGACCATCGTTGACTATGCTTGCAGAAATGGGGGTGTCACATCTCAGTGGTTGGTACTTAGCTGCGTGGGCCAAAGACCGTGCCTTAGTCCCTGCTGCTCTGCCACTGCCAGCCTTTCACATGGCCTGGCTGTCAAAGAATCTCAAAAGTTTCATCCCTCTTACCACCCCACCCACACCCCTCTCAACCCCTCGAATCCCTCTGTTTCTCCCAGTCGAGTGGGTGGGACGTGCTTGACAAGGACCCTGCCTTTGACTCTGCTGCTCTGCCAGCCTTTCGCATGGACCCCAGCCTTTTACTGTCAAAGAACCTCATTAGTTTCATCCCTCTCACCCCCTCCCGTACCTCTCTGTCTCTCCCAGCCGAGTGGGTGGGACGTGCTTGACAAGGACCCCGCCTTTGACTCCGCTGCCCTCGCACTTGGCTATGTGAGTGGTGATGGTTGTGATGGGGTTGAGAGTGGTGATGGGTGTGACGGAGTTGAGAGATGATGGGTGGGATGGGGTTGGGAGTGATGATGGGTGTGATGGGGTTGGGAGTGATGATGGGTGTGATGGGATTGGGAGTGATGATGGGTGTGATGGGATTGGGAGTGATGATGGGTGTGATGGGATTGGGAGTGATGATGGGTGTGATGGGATTGGGAGTGATGATGGGTGTGATGGGGTTGGGAGTGATGATGGGTGTGATGGGGTTGGGAGTGATGATGGGTGTGATGGGGTTGGGAGTGATGATGGGTGTAATGGGGTTGGGAGTGATGATGGGTGTAATGGGGTTGGGAGTGATGATGGGTGTGATGGTGTTGAGGGTGGTGATGGGTGTGTGAGTGGTGATCGGGGTGTGAGTGGTGATGGGTGTGTGAGTGGATGGGTGTGAGAGTGGTGATGGTTGTGTGACTGGTGATGGGTGTGTGACTGGTGATGGGTGTGTGACTGATGATGGGTGTGTGACTGATGATGGGTGTGTGACTGGTGATGGGTGGGTGACTGATGATGGGTGTGTGACTGATGATGGGTGTGTGACTGATGATGGGTGTGTGACTGATGATGGGTGTGTGACTGATGATGGGTGTGTGACTGGTGATGGGTGTGTGACTGATGATGGGTGTGTGACTGATGATGGGTGTGTGACTGATGATGGGTGTGTGACTGGTGATGGGTGTGTGACTGATGATGGGTGTGTGACTGATGATGGGTGTGTGACTGATGATGGGTGTGTGACTGATGATGGGTGTGTGACTGATGATGGGTGTGTGACTGGTGATGGGTGTGTGACTGATGATGGGTGTGTGACTGATGATGGGTGTGTGACTGATGATGGGTGTGTGACTGATGATGGGTGTGTGACTGATGATGGGAGTGTGACTGATGATGGGTGTGTGACTGATGATGGGTGTGTGACTGATGATGGGAGTGTGACTGATGATGGGTGTGTGACTGATGATGGGTGTGTGACTGGTGATGGGTGTGTGACTGATGATGGGTGTGTGACTGATGATGGGTGTGTGACTGATGATGGGTGTGTGACTGATGATGGGTGTGTGACTGATGATGGGTGTGTGACTGGTGATGGGTGTGTGACTGATGATGGGTGTGTGACTGATGATGGGAGTGTGACTGATGATGGGTGTGTGACTGATGATGGGTGTGTGACTGATGATGGGAGTGTGACTGATGATGGGTGTGTGACTGATGATGGGTGTGTGACTGATGATGGGTGTGTGACTGATGATGGGTGTGTGACTGGTGATGGGTGTGTGACTGATGATGGGTGTGTGACTGATGATGGTTATGTGAGTGTTGGCTATGTTCATCACGTGTACTCTGAGCCAACTCATTATGCATTCTCTTTCCTCCTGCTACTTTCATGCATCTTTGCCTCCCACTCTCGTTGCCTCTCTCCCTTCCCGCCCCCCTTTTCTCGCGTTTACCATGCCACCCATGGTGCAGGGGACACTCACTCCTCTCGTCATCACTGCGTCCATCGACATCCACCCACATCTTTCAAGTCGACCCAAATCTTCCCTCCCTTTCCTGTCCTCCTTGCCCTCGCTTTTACCGTGCGACCCATGATGCAGGTGACAGTCACGCCTCTCGCCATCACTGCTGCGATCGACATCCACCCACGGCTTTCAAGTCGACCCAAAACTTCCCTCCTTCCCGTTCCTCATTCCTCACTTGTCTACCGTGCCACCCATGGTGCAGGTGACAGTCACGCCTCTCGCCATCACTGCATCCATCGACATCCATGCACGGCTGAAGGAGGACCTGGCATGGCTCGCACCTTTGCTGCCCCACGATGTCTAACGTGCCCCTTGGCTCGACACTTGCTCCGCTCGCCATCACCACATCCATTGACGTCCACTCACGTCTCAAGGAGGACCTGCCATGGCTCGCACCGCTGCTGCCGCATGACGCCTGACGTGCACTTGGATTGACAGTCCCTGAGATTTCTTCATTTGATTGCCTGAGCTGTTGGACCAGAACAGAACTCAGTTTTGTAACATGAACAACCCACAAGTGCGTTTATTAGTTGTACAGCATTGGAAAGACGTATATCTGCAAACGTTGAAATGCCGATCTAGAAGACACAAAATATCTTCCGACATGACTCCATGGCCCAATGGATAAGGCGCTGGTCTACGGAACCAGAGATTCTGGTTCGATCCCCAGTGGAGTCAGCCTGATATGCGCCGCTTTCAGAACACCACACAACTCAGATTGAAGCCCGTTTGAGATTTCATCAGACTTCTTTTGGCTTCTGTTCAGGACACGCGGTTGAGCACAGTTGTATACAGTGTAAAGAGGCTCGTTTTCTTCCCCTTGGCCTAAATCCGCTAAAGAATAGCGGAGTCGACTAAGTCGAGGATGAAAACGCGGCGGAAGACTTTGGCGAAAGAACTATTGGTGAAATAGGTGAAATAACTATAGGCGAAGAAGTTACTGAGTAATTGAATGAGAAATGATTGATATTGGGGAATACAAGCAAGGTTGATATAGCATGCAAGATCGAATGGTGGAAAGTACTTCGTGGGACTAGAAAGTAGAAGCAAGAAAGGTAGAGTGCCACGTGGCACAGCGAGGACGAAGGAACCCAGCTGTCGTCGGCTGCATCGTAACCACGCCAACGAATCAAGAAGTCGATGAAAGAGACACCCCCCAGAAGGCGGCGACGGTGCCTGAGGATGCGCTGAATCTGGTAATCGGGCTCGTCAGTGTCAATGGCGACCGGCAGTGGAGTGCGAACACGGCCCGAGAAGGTGGCGTTGGGATCGGTGTATGGACGAAGGAGAGACACGTGGAATGATGGGTGCATGCGGAAAAGAGCAGGAAGGCGGAGGCGGTATGCGACTAGACCTAGTGTGCGCTCAATGACGAATGGACCAATGAAACGAGGGCGAAGCTTGCTGTCCTGTCGCAGTCGGAGGTTGCGGCTGTCGAGAAGGACACGGTCACCAACTGAATACGACACCTCACGACGACTGCGGTTGGTGGTGCCTGCCATGCGTGCATTTGCGAGCTTAAGGTGCTTCCTCACGTGATCATGAACAGGGCCCAAAATTGGTTTTCGGGCACCCTTATGAATCAGGGTGCCTTGCTGACGTCACCCTGCCTATCAGGGTGATGTTTTTTCCACCCTGTCAAAATAAGGGTAAATCAAATGGAAAAAAAAACCCACCCTGATTCTGTAAGGGCAAAATAACTATTTTTATATTTTTAGTGTAAGGGATACTCAAACCTTGAGCAGTTTGTCATCGTGCTGCTAGCGAGACCCTGCTCCCCACAACGTATTAGATGCGGGGAGAGGGGCTAGGAAAGGCGTGGAAATTGGGGGGGGGGGGAGGTGCGAAGATTATGGGGGAAGTGGGGGGGAAAGATAGTGGGGGCATGGTGGAGCCGAAGAAAACGGGGGGAAGGAACCTAGGAGAATGGGGCAAATTCGTTTGGCAGGGGCGAGGAAATCGCGGGGAGTGGGACTGTTTTGGGAGCATCGAGGAAAATGTTGAAGGGAGGAAGGGGGGGGGGGGGGGGGGGGAGGGGGGGAGTGGGGGGGGGGGGGGGATTCAATCGACCCGTCAGTTTCTGGTTCAGTGCATTTTTTTCCCGCACCCTGCCTGGCAAGGCTAAAAAACTAAGCACACTGAAAAAATCAGCCTATTCTGTATGTCTACACTTTTGCAGAAAGAGTAACAGATGAAATAGGCTTACAAAATAAGGGTAAACAAAAAAAAGCGGCCGCTGGTAAGTGTAATAAGTGCATTTTACCCTTGAAAAATAGGCCCTGATCATGAATGAAGGTGAGATGCTGGTGGAAGTTGTCCGCACGAGGGACAGTGGGTGTGAGATCGACACGAGTGGGGACATTGGGGTGCTGACCGTACAGTGCGAAAAACGGTGACATGCTTGTGGACGAGTGATGGGTGTTGTTGTAGGCGAACTCGGCCATGCCCAGCTTCTTGTCCCATGCGGCTGCGTCGTGCATCGTGATGCTGCGAAGAATTTGCTCCAAGGTCTGGTTCATACGCTCGGTCTGTCCGTCTGTCTCTGGATGGTACGCAGACGACAAGGCTAAGCGAGTCCCAAACGCTGCTTCCAGAACTTCGAAGTTAAACGAGGGTCGCGGTCGGAAATGATGGAATCTGGAACCCCATGCAGTCAGACTACGTTATCTACGAACATCGTCGCGACTTCCTCTGCTCTGACCTTGCCGTGCGTGGGGATGAAGTGCGCTGCTCGAGAGAACTTATCCACTACCACGAAGATGGCGTCGTGACCCCTAACTGTGCGCGGTAAAGCCATGATGAAATCCATGGTAACTACCTGCCAAGGACGGTCGGGCGGTGGAATCGGCTGCAAAAGTCATGCTTTGCGTTGGCGAGAGGACTTCGTACGCTGACACGTGTCGCACGAGCGAATGTAATCCTCTACGTCTGCTGCAAGCCCTGGCCAGAAGTACGTGCGACTAAGCGTCTTAGCCGTCTTATCTGCTCCGAAGTGACCTGCACTAACGACATCGCGCGCCTCGGAAAGAAGGAGCTGTCGAAGAGGGCGGTAGGCGGGAACCCAAATCCGTGCTGTACCCTTCCGAATGTAGACACTACCCTGCACCTCTGCTCCTGCGGGCGGCTGCGGTGTGAAGTCAGGATCTACTGTGTAACCGTGCTCAAAGAGTGCTGTGAGAAGTGGATGACTGGCAGTGACTGTGAGACTAGCGAGCTGGCAACTAGGGCGAGTGAGCGGATCTGCTGGGTTGTGTACGCCTGGCTTGTACTCTATCGTGTAGTGGAAACTCCCCTCCATGAACTCCATCCATCTAGCCTGGCGACGACTCAGCTGCGGCTGCGACTTGAGGAAGCGAAGCGAGCAATGGTGCGTGCGTATAACACTATCAGCCCCCTCTAGGTAGCACCTCCAAACCTTATACGCATGAATGATCGCGGGCGCCTCCTTGTCGTGAATCGGATAGTTCAGCTCCGCTCCCCTAAGCTTACGCAACTAATATGCTATCGGCTGCAACCCGCGGCTCTGGTCCTGAAGAAGCACTGCTGCAATGGCCCGATCTGATGCGTCGGTCACTACAACGTACGGGCGAGTGGGATCTGGGTACGAAAGTGTCGGTGAAGACGTGAGCGACTGCTTCATCTGCACGAACGCCTGCTGCTGCGCTAGACCCCAATCGAAATCTACGCCCTTCCGAAGTAGGTCGGTGAGTGGACTAGCGATCGATGTGTAACCCTGAACGAAACGATGTTGTAATTCGCGAATTCGAGAAAGCTCTGCAACTCCTTGACTAAGGTCGCAGCTACCCAATCTTGTACTGCTGCGATCTTCTTCGGGTCAGTCCTAACGCCACTAGCGGATACGACTTGTTCTAGAAACTCGACCCAGGGGAGGAAGAACTCGCACTTCGATTGCTTAGCGTACAACTGCTCCTTCTGCAAGACCTCGAAGACCTTCTGCAAGTGCTGCACGTGCTCCTCTTTCATCTTGGAGAAGATTAGGATGTCGTCTAGGTAAACTACGACGAACGGACCTAGGAACTCGGAGAGGACGGTGTTCATGAGCGTCTGAAACGTCGCTGGGGCGTTGGTCAAACCGAACGGTAGAACCCTAAACTCGTACAACCCCTGCTTCGTACGGAACGCTGTCTTGTGCTGGTCCTTTGGAACTACGCGAATCTGGTGGTAACCCGAACAAAGGTCGATCTTTGAGAAGACTCTAGCGCCCTGCACTGCATCCAAAAGATCCTCTACTCTCGGTACTGGAAATCTGTTTTTTTTACGGTGGCGGCGTTCAATGCACGGTAGTCTATGCACATCCGTAACCCTCCGTCTTTCTTAGGCGCGAAAAGGATCGGTGCTGCCCAAGGCGATCTAGATGGCTGTATGAACCCCTGCAGTAGAAAGTGCTTAACCTGTTGCGTCATCTCCTCTGTCTATGCTGGACTCAACCTCCACTGCGGCTTCGCCACTGGTCTGCTTCCCGGCTCCAACTCTATCAGATGGTCTACTGCTCGGCTGGGAGGCAACCCTGGAGGCAACTCGTTGGGGAAGACGTCTGCGAAATCTGCTAACAGTGCACTCACCTCAGCAGGAAGAGTCGCCTTCTCACCAACTGCTGCACTCTCTCCTTTCCCTTCCTCAGCTTCCACCTCCTCAAGGAAACGAAGATCCTTGCTGCACGCTTCACCAGCTGCCACACACGAACAGCATTGATGATAGCTGTGGATGATGTCGCCCCATCGATCCACTGTGGCAGCTCCCGGAACTCGCCATCTACCTTGACGCTGCAGCTTCCTTGAGCCCAATCGAACTGAGTATTAACCGTCCGCAACCAATCTCTACCGAAGATGAGGTCGTAACCGTCCAGCGTCGCAGAGTCAAAATCACGCCTAACCGTGATTGGTCCTAGCACTACGCGCAACTTGCGAATGACTGGTCCTATGTGGAGAGGCGTCCCATCTACCATGCGAGCGTCCTTAAAGTTGACTGCCAAATCTGCTTCGAGATGGAGACGACTAACTAGCGATGAAGAGACGAATTAGTGGCTAGCTCCGCTATCGACGAGAATCTTGACTGGAATACCGCGAAGCCTCCCTAGAAGCACGACTGGACAATCAACAGTGTCTACCTCGTTCAGCGTAGATGACTGCTCTAAGGCCGTCTCCTCTACGTTGGTAGACTTGGCGGGTTCGGAAGCGCTCACACCAGCTAGCGACCCGCTATCTACTGGCGGTTTCCGTTTCCCTGCTGCGACTCTTTAAGCTGTGGACAGTCCCGCTTCATGTGTCCCGGCTTTTTGCAGTAGTGACAGTTCCCCTTAAATCCCGTTTTCTGTGAGCCGTCACTGTTAACTGCACCAATCTCCATGGGCGACGGTCCGTCCCTCGATCGAGCGTCGTTGATCGGTTTGTTGTATCCCCTATCGCGATCGTCACGACCCCGTCGGCTTCGTACTGCGTCGACGCGTTCTGCTGCTGCGACTACCGACTCGAAGGTGGACAATCCGTGAATCGCGATGATCTCCGCTATGTCCGACTTTAACCTCTCGAGGTAGCGATCGCGCATCTCTGCTTCCGTGATGTCGTCTATCTCGTTGCAGATGCTCAAGAACCGTCGTGTGTACTCCTGGACGTTTCCTATCTGTCGGAAATGACGCAGACGCTTCCTTGCAGCTTCGGAGGCATTCACCAAATCGAACCTACTTTTCAGCGCCGCTTAAAATCCTTCCCATGTCGTCGGAACCGTGGTAACACCCAAAGCTAAACTCCCTAAGCTCGAAGTTGCAGCTGCATGCCCCTCGCCCTGTTGATGCCCATCCAAATGAGCCCTTCTTATAGCAGTTTGCGTGAGTTGGCGCCACCACTCCAAGGTCGGGCCCCTCAGCAGCGTAACGGAGTACTCGATCCGCTGCTGCGCGTCCGCCTTTTGCACCCCGGTCGCGGCGAAGTAGTTGTTCAGCATGAAGATCCACGTCCGCACGTTCGCGTCGCGTTGACTTGGGTCGAACGGCTCGGGCTTCTGCGGCTTGAGCGCGCTTTGACGTTCTGGCAGCGCTTCCGCGCCAGTCGACGTGTTGGGTGCAGGAGATGGTGCGGCATGACCAAGAGGAATAGACACGAATTCACGAAGCTGTTGCATTTCAGCCCGTACCTGACGATTTTCCAGCGTCAACGTTTTGAGTTGGCGCATGAGTTTAGCAAGCATATTGCCCATGTCGTTGGGGACATCGGTCATGGTTTCATCCATGTCGGCTCGACGACTCCAAGTCTGCAAGTCGGCACCGCGGGACGATGACGTCGTAGTCTCGTCGTCGACGGTCGCTCGTTGGAAGTCGCTCCCCGCGAAGGCTCTGATACCAAGTGTTAGGCCCCTTGGCCTAAATCCGCTAAAGAATAGCGAAGTCGATTAAGTCGAGGATGAAAACTCGGCGGAAGACTTTGGCGAAAGAACTATTGGCGAAATAGGCGAAGAAGTTACTGAGTAATTGAAGAGTTGAATGAGAATTGGTTGATATTGGGGAATACAAGCAAGGTCGATATAGCATGCAAGATCGAATGATGGAAAGTACTTCGTGGGACTAGAAATTAGAAGCAAGAAAATTAGAGTGCCACGTGGCACAAGGAAATCAAGGAAGATAAGGATAAGGGTGAGTTGGAAAGTACTGTTCAAAGGGAACAGTAAATCCCCCCTTAAAAACCTATTCGAACCGCTGCACATCAGCCTGAACAGTGTCGCACAAACTGTAAACGAATGAAGTTTCCATCCCCTCCCAACGGAAGTACCTGTGTTTTGCATGGCTCACGGAAGACGGGATTCATGGCTTTAGCGCCAATTTTCCCTTGACCTCTCAGGGCGTGTGTTTTTTGGTGTAGACGTTCGGAAAAAAGTTCGAACTTTAGCTGGTTACCCGTTTCGCAAATGTCGTTCGGGTGTTTGACGACAATCGCAAATATGCAGTGGCAAAGTGTGAAACCCATAGGACACAGAACACAGGTCGAACTTAAGTTTGAATTTTTGTCCAACCCAGTAACCCAAACGTGTGTCCATCCGCGCACGCTCGTCGCATTCGCGAAAATTGCGAGGGTGACGAACACCATCACGCGCACTACCGAAGCCCGTTGAACGGGTACCGGAGTCGCGTGGGGCCACGTGGAGGAGTACGTGGCACGAAAACAATTGGCGATTCCACAGCTGCCAATGTCGCAGAAATTTGGTCAATTGGCGCCAACTGTTCTTGACATATGGAAATGTCAAGAACTTCATAGTGTCAGAATAATAGCTAGAAAGTAGGAACAGGAAAGAGGGGCTTTCACTAGCAACAGTTGGGATACAAATAGGAAACCCTAATTGGGTTGTACTCACTACAGAGTACCCCACTGCAGACTAGACAGCAAACACATTCTGACACACCCCAATAGTCAAAGTGGGGTATAATCAGCACAACAAGCAGTCATAGAGCAGGTTCACCAGTACAAGCAAAGCTAGAGGCATTCACAAAGGGCAAGTGAGGAGGAGGAGGCTGGACTGTGAGAGGAGAGGAGATAGGAGGCGACGGCCGAAGCTGCAGACACACGGGCAACAGGAGCGGCGCGCACGGTGGCTACCGGAGCAAGGGCCCCGGACTACAGGAGTAACTGGCTCTGCGGCTAACTCTGAGCGGCAGGAGCAACGGACCCACGGGCGACTGACGCAGCAGGCTCACTGGGCTACCGGAGCAGAGCCCCGGACTACTGGCGCTGCTGACGACACGACGGCAGCCTCCGCTCAACCTCCCCCAACTGTCCCACCCCCCTTTCACACACCCCTTGCTGCACCCCTAGCTCCACTCCCACGTCACCCCCCTAACGCCACTCCCTCGGCTCCCACACACCCACCCCCCTCAGCGGCAGCTGCAGCAGTGGGAGACGGAGGAGGAGGAGGAGCAGGGGACGGCTCACACACCTGCCACCCCCATACCCGCAACCCCCATACCCCCAACGCAGGGCAGAAACGCGGGCAGCAGCTAGGGCGGCGTGTGAGCGGAAGCGGGGCGGCGCGCGGGCCCCCAGGGCGCCTCGACGAGCGACGGGGGGGGGCGACGGGCGGGCCCCCAGGGCGCCGCGACGGGCGACGGGAGGGGGGGGGGGCGACGCGCTGGCCCCCAGGGCGCCGCGACGGGCGACGGGCAGGGCGACGCGCGGCTCCCCAGGGCGCCGCGACGGGCGACGGGCAGGGCGGCGCGCGGGCCCCCAGGGAGCCACGACGGGCGACGGGAGGGGGGGCGAAGCGCGGGCCCCCAGGGCTCCGCGACGGGCGATGGGCAGGGCGACGCGCGGCCCCCCAGGGCGCCTCGACGGGCGACGGGCAGGGCAGCGCGCGGGCCCCCGGGGCGCCGCGTGAGGCAGTAAACTGCCGCGCGCCTCGGGGCGCACGGCGGGCAGAAAACCGCCGCGCGCCCCGAGCGCGCGGCGGGCAGAAAACCGCCATGCACCCCGAGCGCGTGGCGGGAAGAAAAAACGTCGCGCACCACAAGGCGCGCGACAGACAGGACAGCAGCGGAAGCAGGTGGGCCCACAGGCCAGGAGCGATCTCGCTCTGATAGCATGTCAGAATAACAGCTAGAAAGTAGGAACAGGAAAGAGGGGCTTTCACGAGCAACAGTTGGGATACAAATAGGAAACCCTAATTGGGTTGAACTCACTACAGAGTACCCCACTGCAGACTAGACAGCAGACACATTCTGACACACAGGCGATTCGAGCACATTCACACTGTAAAAAATAGGAACCGCGAGACAAGCCCATCCAAGTATTCCCAACTCAACACAGCAGACACTAGTAACCATGGCACAAAACGGCAATTCTACTAACGGCAACCCTGGCACCTCTTCTAACCCTAACCCCACTGCTCCTGCATCCGCAACTACCGCAAGGCCTCAGCATCGTCGAGCGCGTGCCACCACTCAGGGAAACACTGGCCGCCGACTCGAGGTCATTGACCTCGACACCATAATAGCACAGGTTCCCGATCCGTCGGCACCTCTTAACGCTAACGACGATACGCTCGCCTACTTTGACGCCGGCGAGGTGGAGTCTGACGCCAAAGATAACGGCGACGATGATGACGACACTAACCTGCCGGGCGAGAAACGCGGGTGGCAGGATGCGGAATTGATGCAATTGGCCTGGGTGCGCCACGACAAGGATACTGAAGTGCACAGCCAGACCCGTCTGCAGGGGCAGAACAAGGACGTCACCGTGTGGGATGAGCTCAAGCAGCGTCATCCCACGTTTCGTCACAAGTTCGCCGCGGTCAAGGCGAAACTATTTAGGATGGAGGCCCACTGCCGCAAGGTGCGGGGCCTCCTGCTTGAACCGTCTGGCAAGGGACGCCCGCCGAAGATCCCGATCTTCTACGATATCTATGATCGGATCTTCGGCGACCGTGCGAATGTCCGGCCTCCGGCGATTGCTGGGAGTCTTCCTGGCGCGAACGGCATCGGTACTCCGCCGACTACGCCTGGCATCGCAGGTACGTGTGCCGTTTTAATGGAGTTGAACGCGCTTCATCCCAACCACTTTGCATTAATGTTACTAATGCAGATACATTAGACAAATAACGGTTAACCCCACTACAGCCTTAAACCCATCCCCCTTACACCCACTACATCGCTGAACATGCCTTTGCAGATCAGGCACCACCCAACACGACGGCGGGCATCACCTCACCGCCTCGGCGCACAATGGCGACACCGTCACCCTCGCCTTCTCTGCAGCGTGTGACTCCGCTCTCTCCTCCTGCGCCATCCCCCCTCGGAAATGCATTGCCCGTTGCTGTTGAAGCGCCATCGCCCCCGTCACGCATCGTCGGTGCGCCTACGGGTCTGGGGCTGCGCGGGAGCCGCAGCAGCGTTGTCCGTCGGCCTGGGCCTGCGGCTGCGGAGGCAGATATGATGGGCATGGAGGGGGGGTCAAGGGCGTTTGGGAGTCAGATGAATAATTCTGACTCGTCGCTCTGCGACGAAATAGCAGCACACATCGTGGGCACAGTGCAGGGTATGATGCGCGAGAATTTCACAGAGTTTATGGCGCTTACCCGAGAGCTGGTACAGTCTCCTCCGGATGACCCAGCCACCAAGAAGCGTAAAGGTAGCCAGCCAGACGCTGACGGCGGCGGATCGGCGTGAAGCCCTCTGCGCTCGGCGAGTAGTGAGGCGCCTGGGCCGCAGGACCGTTTTCCCACCAACGGTTCCTTTCGCGTGGCACACCAAGCCGAGGTCGCGCACCAAGGATGAGCTCGATGTTGTGGAGCGTGACGCAGGCGGCCACGTAGAGGGGAGCGCAGAAGATGTCGCACTCGAGCTGCCCGTCCAGCAGCCGCCACTTCGTTTTTCAGGCGGCCGTTGACTTGCTCGACGACCATCCGCGCGCGCGACTGCTGCAGGTTCCAGACCCTTTGCTCGTCCGGCAGATGGTGGCCAGTAATAGCTCTGTAGGGAGTGAATAGGTAGGGACGCAGGTCGTACGCCGCGTCCGAGACGATTGATGATATGCTGCTCCAAGAATGACTGAACATATGAAGATCCTCAACGACCGTCTCATGGTATGGCTCGCGCTCTCAACATTTTTGTATCTAGTTTTATCTATCTGCAGGCATTACAGGAGAAAATCCAGGTGTTTTGCCGGATCCGCCCCTTGAGTGAAAACGAAAAAAACAAAAATGACCAATTTAGCAATGGATGTGCTTATTGCTGAGACTAGCATTGACAACAATATAGTTATCGAAGGTGCTGGCCTCTTATTGATAAAGTCTATTATTGGTCTAATGGTCTCATGGTATGGCTCGCGCTCTCAACAGTTTTGTATCTAGTTTTATCTATCCGCAGGCATTACAGGAGAACATCCAGGTGTTTTGCCGGATCCGCCCCTTTGAGTGAAAAACAAAAAACAAAAATGAGCAATTTAGCAATGGATCTGCTTATTGCTGAGACTAGCATTGACAACAATATAGTTATCGAAGGTGCTGGCCTCTTATTGATAAAGTATATTATTGGTCTAATGAAACGTCCGCCATGGAAATGCAGGGCATAAAAAAAAAAAAAAAACCAAGTTCGACAAACTGTTCTCACGTGAAGTAATTCATACGAATGTGTTTGACGGGCTCTCCGGGTTTGTTACAAGTGCGCTCGATGGGTTCAATGTAGGTTGACAATTGTCACTGACCTGGCTAATCTGTTATCCATTGTATTTCATGCACGCATTTTCATGTATGCCATGGTCAACCTCGCTCGGGTAAGTAATTCACAATGTTTGGTCGCAAGAGGCGTTTCGTAGAGTTGTTCCAATAACTTCGTAGAGGCGGGGGCCGCGATGCCCGATGCCCCTCCCCCTCGCGGCACCCGCCTCCGCGGGCGGGCGGATACCGCGCCCCCTCCCAGCGCCGCGCCCGCCGCCCCTCCACTCCGCGGCCCTGGCCTCTACAGATGGGCAGCGGTCGTATCCCCTCCTCGCGCCATAAAGCGGGCGCCAACCCTCCCCCTCGCGGCCACCACCTCCGCGGGTGGGCGGCGGCCACGCCCCCTCCATACACCGCAGCACGCAGTTGCCGACGCACTCTACTGTACGGAAACTGTACGCGGGCGAAACCATAGCGATTCAAGGGAAATATGTCTGTACAGTAAGAGGTAATCGAGGTGTGCCTTCCCTTATTAACCACTATGCCTTCATTGTTGCACACGGCCCCCTCTACCCTTGTTAATTGTCCTTTCTTTTTGTGATCCTATGTCATCTCATGTTGTTGCTATTTCATGACTTGTTCTTCGCATCTCTTTTGCTCAATCTCTCTTGCTTGGTTGGGGACGCTCTATATATCTTCCTTCTCGCCCTCCTCTTCCTTCCCTATCTGGTTTCTTTCTTCTTTGATTCCTTTTCTGGTTCTTGGTTGAAGAATTGTGATTCACTTAAAGCCAGGATCTCATGTAGTTCAGTTGTTTTGCAATTGGTGAATTGCGCTAGGTTGTGATTGGTTGACGAGGTAGAGAAGTTGACGAGAGCTGAAACGAGGGATGCGAAGCAAACACAAATCGCAGACTGCTTCCGAACCACCTAGGCACGGAAATCTGGTTGGGTTCCGAAGCTCATTTCCCAGCAAATGTGTCTCATCTGCCGAAAAATCTCATGTACTGCAATTTGTTTTGCAATTGGATCACGGGCAAAATGGTTTTTGTCGCACACTGAACCTCCAACCCAACCACTCTATTTCGCCTACACAAACAGGGTGACTAGCTTCAACTGTTTTGCAATTGAAGCCAATTTCTCATACTTGAGATCCTGGTTTTAAAGCCCGAGTCTAGAATGGCAACTCTTCAAGTTCAAGATTCTTGAAGTTGAATTTGCCTCCCCTCCCGTCGCGTTTTAGGTGGGGCTCCCATCTCGCGCCCGTCGCCCACGCTTATTCTGAGTGTGGCCCACGCTCTCCCATCCTGTCGCTCGCCTTCCCGTCACCATCGCTTTCCCATCCCGTTGCTTTCCTAACACCTTTCAAGTTCAATATTCTTGAAGCCTTGCCATTCTAGACTCGGGCTTTAAGTTTCAGCTCCAGCATACCCCCCAGTGCACCAATATTCTTAACTCAAGAAATACTTCACCTCTTTATATGATTCAAATTGAGAATGGTGCTACGGTCTAGGGCTATAACATAGTCGATTTTCGTGAGTTTCTTACATTACGGTTATTATCGACGGCATTTCTTGAGGAGACGATTTTTCTATTCAGAAACGTCGTTGATGATTTTGAGTAATATCAAGAGGGCAAGGTTGATCTGCCACCTGAAGAAATACAAGTTTGGGATCCGCACGGTGCAGTACCTGGGATTCGACGTCGGCGACGGAAATATCGAGGTGCAACAGGCTAAGGTCGAAGTGCTGGACAGGGTGCTGCCCTGACGGACCGATCCTCACTACATGCCATTCTTGGGATGCTACCGCCGATTCGTGCCAAACTTCAGCGGCGGTGGTGCTGAACAAGCTGCTGAGAGAGGAGCAGCCATGGCAACGAGAAAAGGAAGAGCAAGGGGCACTGAGGGCACTGATTCAGGGGGTGAAAATGGCGACACTATTGGCGCTGCCCAGCAAGGGAGACCCGTTCCTGCTGTGTACTGATTCGAGCAGCTCGGGGATGGGAGCCATTTTCTGCTAAGAGAGGGAAGGCAACGGAAGCGTAGTCGCATTTGCAAGCATGAGCTGCAACCCGTCGTAGGCTAACTACAGCTCCTATGAGGGGGAAGGACTAGCGATCGTATGGGCCATCACTCACTTTAGGGTATACCGACAAGAAAGACAATTCACGCTCATCACGGATCATCAACCGCGGACCTGGCTAATGACTAATCAAGCCGGGCAAAAGCATGCGGCACGTGGACGGGTTATCTCAGAACCCCACACCAGAGAGACCGACGGCATGCTTAGTAGCCTTGGCGCGAGGCTTTGACCAAGAGGGAGCCATAAAGGGGAAGGAGAGGGGACCAGAGGACATGTGGGAATAGACGAAGGTGTTACAAAGGGTGCAAGGGCGCACAGGAGAGACACGGGAAGTATCGGAGATATTACGGGCCAGGGGAGCTCATTTTCGATGGGTTTAGAATGGGTGGAAGGTGGTTACGGAACCAAATCAGCGGGAAGACATTATAGCGAGGGTACATAGGCAGCTGTGCGACTACGGTGAGCTGACGTCTGAGCAGTTGGTAGAGACCATGTAACAGGAATGAGGGGACAGATAAGATAGTGTATGGGGAGTTGCGAGTTGTGCTGCAGGAACACAACTGAACTAGACAGAGGGCGGCAAGAGCTGCAATCTCTGCATATCCATGGGCTGGGTTTCAGATGGTCGTTGGATTCGGTGGGAGAGATGCTGTTGAGCAGAAGAGGCAAGCGTTACATCCTGATCATGATCGAGAACGGCACCAAGTGGGTGGAAGTTGGAGCTATACCGAGCAAAAACTCGGCCAAAATAACCGAGGCATTTGAGGAGGAAGTGCTGACTCGTTTCGGAGCGTGCGGGGAAGTGCTAGCTGATCAAGAAACTGAGTTCCAAGGGCAGTCCGCACAGCTGCTCAAAGAGACAGGGATAACACACAGACGCACATCCAGGTATCATCCCCAGAGCGATGGCCTAACGGAACGTTTCGTGCAGACTATAAAGCGCGGGCTCAGGGCGTAAAGGGAGAAATATAAGAGAGATTGGGGTTTGCGGGTAAGGAAGGTTAAGGATTTGAGGGTGGTGGTGCTGGTGAGTGAAAGAGGGGAGGAAAGGAAGGACCATATCACGAATGTGGCTGCAGCCCGTCCGAGGAGAGAAATCAGGGTGGGAGAAGCACAGAGAATAAAGGGCCCTACTGTCAACCACAAAGGGAATCCATTGGTTGGGAGGAAAGAGAGCCGCCATGGAAGGGGCAAGTGAGTGGGTCAGGGCCAGAGAATGAAGTAACCAAGAGGGATGGTGGGTAGAGAGAGAGAGAGAGAGAGAGAGAAAGAGAGAGAGTGGTGAGGAATGGAGGCAGCAGCCAGGAAGAGCACCAAAGGAGGAGAAGGTGCAGCCAGGACTAGCATTTCTGACAGCTGTCATGCAATTAATGAAGGCATCGAGTAGATACAGTAGTTATGAGTAACCTTAATGTAATTGCATTACAATAATTAAAACAGGAATAAGAAACAAGTAGTGGCGCTGATGCATCAACGGAAGGAACCGAGACTAACGGGCGGATCGGACGAGGCGAGAAGCGTGGAGGGAACGTGAAACAATAAGGGCTCCAACGGTAAGTGGCAGCAAAGTACTTAGGCAACCCCGGCCATAGATCTGGCCGCTTGCTTGTTTGTTTTCTCCTTGTTAGCTAATGAACCCATCTTCTTATCAGCTACACGAGAAGCCACTTCAAGCAAAGCAACCAGCCGAACTATTCAGGATCACGAGACACTAGGCTATGGTGCCAGTTTACATAGTGAGCAAAACAGGGGCTGGAGAATGAAGTAACCAGGAGGGATGGTGGGTAGAGAGAGAGAGAGAGAGAGAGAGAGAGAGAGAGAGAGAGAGAGAGAGAGAGAGAGAGAGAGAGAGAGAGAGAGGGAGAGAGAGAGAGAGAGAGAGAGAGAGAGAGAGAGAGAGAGAGAGAGAGAGAGAGAGAGAGAGAGAG